ATCAAATCGTTCCCGTTGTAGTCTATGAAACTGTGGATTCAATTGAAAACTCGTTTATACAGGGTGAGTCAACAAGATTCCCTCGGTCCATTGCTATCAGGAAAAACAACTTTCCGACATGCTCAATTTTTTCTCGCAGATATATCGATAAATACTTGTATACTGGGTGTTTGAACCCAGTATTTTAAATACGTTTTAAAATATTATGGTGCACCATCTTGTTGTAGCCACATTCTAACTCTTGTTTCATATGGAACCCCGTCCAATAAAGTCGAAAACTCATTCCGTAGAAATCTTACATCTTTTCTTCCAGTGAGATGCCCATTCAAAAAATAGAGGTCGATAACTCTTTTTCCGAGAATTCCACCCTAAACATTCAGTGACCAACGCTGTTGATGGTTCTGGGAACGATCAAAATGGGGCTTTTCCGTTGCATAATAATGCATAATAATGCCGATTCACAGTTCCATTTTTATGAAAAGTCGCTTCATCAGAAAATAACACGAAAAAATAATTTTCCTGATTGATCTTCTCTAAGCCCCATCGGCAAAATTGAACACGTTTTTCAAAATCTCTTTCTCTTAACTCTCGCATCAATTGCATGTGGTAAGGATGAAATTCACTTGCTCGTATCATTCCTGCTCAGGTCTCGGGTACTCACATGGGGATTTTCAACAAAGTGAAGAGCTATTTGAAATGTATTCTCTTCATTTTTTATACAAGGCAGATACGTTCGAACTTCTCGTGGTTGACATTACCAGCTCTTTCATATCTTGTTTTTACAGCCTGAAATGCCCTTCTATCTGTTTGTCTTCTTTCGGGGAACTTCTCTTTGTAAATCCTAGATGCAAGGAGGCAGTTTCCTCCAAAGCATATCTTCCAATACATAATTCATACCTAATGAAAATGATTGAATCTACACGCGAAAGAAACTTCAACCCATGGCGTTATTGAGAAATTCCGAGATTCATTTTTTTGATGTCAGTCATNTGTGCTAGCGAAACATGTGATATATTTTTCAAATAAAGTTTGTGGAGTTCAAATCGTGAGGTGTAGTTTTTGTAATTATTAACATGTCATTGTGACCATTTGTTCATTGGTAACATGTGATAATTTTCTTTTCTCCATTATAAAAAATCTTCTTCTCCTTGTAAGTATTTTTATACTTCATTTATACTTTCATTTTCTTCATTGTAGAATTTTTAAATAATTAGGTGATGATATAGGTTCGAAATATGTACTGATTGATGGTTTTACCGTTCTTACATCTGAGGGTGATAATGAATTTTGGAGAGGACTACGAGTTTGAATGCTTCGCCAATTGAATTATGTTGAAAAATTGTTTCGAAAAACTTTCTAGGGAGGTGAAATGGCAAGTATCTAATATTAAGATACGTATATTTTGTTTTCTTGGAAATCATTTGACATTCCGCAAAGAATTTCAGACGTCAATTGAACATGAAACTCTGTTCTCCTTTTCAGCGAGCTTTTTAGTCACTGACTGAATATTTCACTAGAGGATATTTGAGTAGACTCATTTACCTTATGAAATGTAGCTGCATATTTCAATAATTTCCTGATGGCACCTAATGGGGAATGCTCCTAAATTTGGGTTATTACAGCAAAATAGCTTTGCCTTGTAACTAATTTTTTTGGTATTCTAATTCTCAACTATTACATAAAATGTCTTCTTCACGTGTACAAGGTATGTTTACAAAATTAGATGAATGTTCAAATTTCGCGAGCTACTTACATTCGATTAGCGATTTTTTATGTTGTCGTCTCGAACATATGTTCACAGTTTCAGCTGTTTAGGATGTTTAGTTTGTTGGTGAGAGGTATAAAAGTTAGAATTGTTCTGCGTGTTATGCGATTTTCTGCTGTCGAAATGAAATGAGTGCTTGAAAACACTTCAAATGTTGATAGTGGCATACGGTGATTGTACTCTGAGTCAAAAAAATGTTTACAAATGATACACGCTTTTCACAGAAGGTCAAGAAGTACTGAATGGCAACGCTCGCTCTGGCACCCCAGCACATCAACACTGATGAAAATATTGAGAAAGTGAAGAAAATTGTTATGGAGAATCGTCGAATCGCTATTAGAGAAGTTGCCGTAATCATGCCTCAGCCACCGTATTCACCAAATTTGCTCTCTTACGACTTTTTCCTGTTCCCAAGATTGAAGAGATCCATGAAAGGACGCGTTCTGTTGAGATGATGAAAAACCGAATTGCTGAGACACCTCAAGATGATGGCAAAAAGTGCATATCAGAACTACTTCGAGCATTGGGGGGCTACTTCGAAAGGAACAAAATAGATATTGATGAATAAATGAATGTGAAAACTGAAATTGCTGGATATGAGAAAATTACATCTATTGAATATGACTCATACTGTACTGAAATATAGGACACCAACATATCTATATGACAAACTAATCAAAATGGGGAATCTGAGTGATTATAACACTCGTAACTCGGGGTTACTGGTAATGTTGTACGAACATAAAACCTCCATTTCTCATCGATCCTGCACGTACAATGCATGTAGGTTCTATAATCAACTTCCGCATGAGTACAGCACATATGCTCTGATGAACTTCAAAAAAAAGTTGAAATCCCTATTATCAGCTCAAAATATGATTAAAAAATGTCAAACTCTGCATCTACAGAACGGATAATGACCAGTCAATCACTTTATGAATTGAATGTACTAATTAATTTGACAGATCTCAGACAGCAAAATTATTCTACAATGTAATAGAATTATAGTCATGGTAGATATTATAGCTAAGATAATGAAGAAAATTGTAAATTAATATTGTATTTCTACGGTTAAGTTGAAAAACATCCTCGGGTGACACTTCGCCACTTTATCTTTGTTGAATACCAATTATTGTTATCTATTTACATGTGTGTTCAAAGATGAATAAAGACCAATTATTATTATTATATTTTTTGAGCAAAATGAAAATCCACCTCATGAGACCTTGTACATCATAGACAGATGTTCGTTTCAAATGCGAACCAGAAGAAATTTCTCCTGAATCAACTACTCATTTTCCGCATGGATATTGATTTGAACAGAAAAAATACTTTTTCTCAATTACCTTCATACTAAATGTCAAAAATTATGAAAAATGTTGAATGATTCGTTGTTCAAACTCCCAATAATAAGAATTTGAAACCAAGTGATCCGAGTCGAAACCCTTCAGTAGGTGAAAGTTGTAGCTTTTCGAATAAATGAAAATAAATTTTCTTTCTATTATGAATATTTGATGCACCCCTTGAGAATGATAAAATGAATATTTGTATGATGAAACCATTTGTCTCTTCCAAGGAAAAATTATTTTTTATGCAGATAAATTAGTAGCGTTGTTAACGAATAATACTATTTCTTCAACAAACACGGTGTATGAGAATTCACGTGATTGATTCACATAATGATTTATGATTTTGCAAGCTGTATTTTTCAAAAGTATTTCTATTCAGTCACTATTCACCGTCCCTGTTGACAGTGCTAATTCGAAAGATATCTGTGAATATGTTTTACGTTAATATAATCGTGTGAAAGTCAATTGTTGGACTGGCCTCCGATGCGTCTTCAACTTATTTCTAGGTCATCGTGGTATTTACTAACAGAATCACGTTTGTAACCCAATACATTAGCAGAAGACTCGGTTGAAGAAGAGAGACAGAAACTAATAATACATTACAGAGCCCCATTACTTGGAAACAATAAATATTCAGTGGGTGTGACACTTCCTCCAAACTATGGGCATGTCTCTGTAAGCATATTCAAATATTTAAGTACCTATATCACCAAAGAATACAGGCATTTCAAAAGGAATGTAAGGTACTAAAACTGAATCTTTGTTGGGTTCTAACGATTTTTAAAACATTTCAAACTTTTGAATCAGTAGAGATAACTTGCAAGAAATTCCTCCGTTATCAAGAAGTTAAAAGGATTCTGAAAGCTTTTGTAAAGCTGTTGATAACCTGCTGAATTATCACAATCTTACCTACTACTATTTCATAACTACGAAATAAAGGACTAGTAAGTGCCGAAATTTGTTTTTAAATTCGAAGGGATATATTTTTGGGAGAGAATAAGTTTTGGGAAAGGAAGGTTTTCGCTTTCTACTTTTGAATAACCATACAAAAAAATGTGGGAATCTCTCAAAAAAAGAAAACAATTGATTTCAAAATGAACTATTTACAAAAATGTGTAGATCGTAACTTTCAGGCAAAAACTGAAAGAAAAGCCCTCTCAAAACAAATATTTCTTTATTCAGGTCGCACTTTAACCTTTCGTTATGGAATTGAATCAAATATTATTCACAGAATTACTACACAACATAGTTATGAAAAAGGTTAAATTTCACCTACCTACATCTTCAATGTTTCGAATTTGTTTTTTCTTTCGTATAATTCAATGGTTGTATGAAAGTAGTTGTTTTGAGAGGGGTTATTCTTCCAGATTGTATCTGAAAGTTATTTCATTGCATGATCTACACATCTTTGTAAAGAGTTTTTTTTTATTTATTTGTTTTCCTCTTTTCTTCGGAAGATTACCACATTTTTTATAGAGATGGAGAAGTAGAAAGCCAAAACCATTCTTTCCTACATTTTTTTTATTTGAAAATGTTTGAAAGTTGATTGTGTAACATGAATAATTAATTCATTAAAATACACCCAATATCTCTGAAATTATTTATCAAATCCATTTTATCTCTTTGAAAGAAATGATGTTGCAACCCATAGGACTCAGTGTTTGTGGCAGTAAATCTTTCAGGTTCATTAACTCCTAATCTACAGCAGTTCTTTTATTCTACATAATTATAGACCAAATAGATATATTTATAATTTTCTTTTATTAAAATGAAGATGATTATGTGTTCTCATCCTCTGGGAATCAGATATTCGTTCACTTTCAAAAATCGGATCCCCAGGAAATAATTAAAATAAATGAAATACATACTATGTTAAGTAGTCTCACCTCTAAGTTTTGAAGTATCTTAGTACAATCTTCCTGGGGCACATTATCAGCCACTTTAATCACCAGATCTTCATAAGCCCCATTCTTCAATTCCAAACCACTGCACACAACCAGAACGATACCAAAAATGATTATTAGTTTGGTATCCATTGTTTTTATTTCAAACACAAATATTTTCAAATTAGCTAAACTATCATTTTTGTGTTCTACAAATATTCTGATTCATCAATATCGTACACAAATCTAACTGGTACTATTGATTCGATGTTACCAGAGCGACAACAATAACAACAATAATACGTCACGCTATGTGGGTACACGTAGAAAAAGTCTTCCTGAATTATCTGCACAAGCCGAACCTCACCAACCAGTTAACTGAATACTGATGTGAAAACTGAAAACATAGGCCATCGCCGGCACTCGGTGGGTCTTCTTACTCCCACCACTTTGAAGCATGTGATGCACCATGATGCATAATCACGACACAGTAAGGCACCGTGTTGTGTAAGTTGGAAGCCGTCAGTCAGGTAGCCTGAAGGAATTATAAACTCTCATTATGTTTGTTGCGGATGCTTGATGGTTGCCTAACAACAGTGCATCAAAATTTCATTCTCCCATGAAATCGACGTTACCAACAATGAAATGGAATTAATAATAACGTGCACTTGTGCCGTCAGTGGCAGGTGTTAAATTTTTATTGACATTTCTAAAAACCTTTGGCAATAGTACTTTTGCCGTCTGAAATCTTTTTTGAACTTGATAATTTCTACATATCAAATCGTTCACAAACGAATACAATAACAGATTTGGTAATAATTGAAAAGGGGTAAAAACTATCTTGAAATCCTGCTCTGTCTGTCTGTTTTTTCATCCGTGAATAATTTTTTCCGGTCAAATTTAAACGTAACATTACATCCGTTTGTCAACGTATTTGAGGTTATTTCATATTTATTTCAATTATTTAGACAATTGAAAGTTCCCTCTCCACTCTTATTCAAAGAGCATTACCTATTTCATAGCAAGAAAGGACTGATTTGGTGAATTTAAGGGGTTCAGTCACTATAAAAATGTGTTGACAGATTTGAAATTCAAAAGAAGAAAGTGAATCAAATATATTGAAAATACTGAGACAGTTCCGTGTTAGGAATCACACGTTGAAAGGTAACACCTCGTTAGTCCTTAGCTCGCACAAACTATTTGATCTATCCTATGACTTTGTAAGTTCTACAGGATTAATAAGTGATTTGATTTGATTCGTGCAAATATCATATAGTTCCTCGAGTGTTGCATTGGTACGTTCGGAATGAATTTTTCGAGATCGAGATCTTTCATCAATTGTAAATATTAATTTTGGTGCTTTTATCGCGTTTGGACCATTGAACCTTATTTTTAGAGAGCCATTTTGAATGATGACAAGCACCAAGAGCTTTGAATTTCACATCTTAACTGTTACTCGTAACACCACCCAAAGAGATACTGCTTAGCACTAATCATTCTTTATAGCCGTTCTTTGGATGATTATTCCAATCGAAAAATAGAAATAAAAATAACAACGAGTTAATGAATTTCAAACAATGTTGAATAAGAAATATAATTACAAAATATTTGAGGGAAAAGGAATCTAAAATATGTAAATTAAATGAGTTGGAAAATTAGGAAGTTAATACTTTGTAGGTATATGTTCTTAATCCACGCAAAAAAGTGTTGACAACTAGTTCATAACTGTTTGAATGTAAATCTTGAATTGTTTGAGTGTACAATTATTCATATAGAATTAAAATTATTCATAACTTCAATTGATCTTCAATAAAATCAAGGTCTTCTTTTTTGACGTTCAAGATATCGACAATTTGCATTTCGTCTGTAGGTACCGATTTCGTAAACGGACGTAACGTCTTGCGTTCATAAGTTTTGTTTTTGACTATTTTGCGTACAGTTGAGAAATGGATTTCGGTCAAATCTGATGTTGCTTGTAATAATTTGTTTCCCTCGAAACCAAACTTGAGATGTAGATTCTCATATACATTGTAACATTCTCTCTATGTTTCAATATTCAAATGAAGTCGAATCTTATTCACTGGTATCTCTTTTTCGCATTGTTCACCATTGCTATTGGAATCACTACACAGGAAAAAGTTCAAAGACGCTAGCTACATTTTAAACAGATAACAAAATTTTTGAGTAATTATAACTGCACCAATATCGAATTTCAACACTCAAATCGCGATCAGTTCCTGAACTGAACATTAACAACACAACTGCCATAACCATCTTCGCATTCTATTCGTCACCGTAACATGACATCAAATGTAATTTTATGACTCTTCAGCCAATAGTGAAACTCGGTTAGTAAAAATTATCCAATACGAACCACCAATTCTTCAGTCCACGCGGACTAGTTGGCAGCGGCTTTATTTCTCTGTATTAGTTTTTTTGGCCTTTGAGAACGCCAACACCTTTAACTATGCACTATACCGGTTACTTCGACTATACAGCTGCCGAACCGAGTCATGGCCCCCCCTCAAGATGTGCAGTAGATGTGTAGAAATCTGTTATCAGTCTGTTAGATTATTCGAGTCGTAAACATCCAATTTCAGGGCCGAGTTCAGTTAGTGATGTAGTTCAAAAGTGAATTGCATAAAATTATTTTAAATAGACAAACTTTCTTTGTCATACACCGATCCAAACTGTACGCAAATACGATTTCTTTCACCGGTCATGATTCAGTCCGGTAGCTGTATATGTTCTTATAAACCAAAATCATCTATGCATACCGTTAATACTCTAGGGGAAATGTGTTCGCAAATGACGGTAGTTTTTAAACCATCGATATACAAATTTAATAATGGGATGGAAAACGAAGCTGTGAAATCACCAAAATCATACGTTCAATTCATTTTAGGAAATAAATACAAACTTTCGACAAAGTAATGAAAGACTTGAAAGAAATCCAAAGTATGTCTCCAGTTATAGGCAAAAGAAATTCTTATACACTATGTAATTTTGACGAATCGTTCAAAAGTTATCACGACAAGATGAACTTGAAGCAGCGCAATAAGCCAGACGCGTCGCGTCTACTGTAATGCGGCGAGGATCGATGCGCGAGGGTAGAGTTGACGAAATTGTAGAATCTTTATTCATAAATAATTAACTGGTTTAGTGATGCGATTATTTTTGTGGGTTAGTTGGGTAAGAGGATGATTGAAAAAACATTGTTTTCAAGCGGATCTGAAGCAGGTTCTAATGTTGAACTTGGACCCAAGTCTTCGTATCCTTTTCGACAATCTTTTGATGTAGGGAAGTGCAAGCACTGGTTGTGATGTATTCTTTTCCTTACGAGGCTCTTGCGGTCCTTTAGCCAAAGTCTGTTACACCATCACTTTGGAGTGACCATTTCTTTGAAGATTTTATTTCATGATGGCCAGTTTTTTCCTGTGCATTAGAGACCCCAAAGCACGGTCCACTAGAGTCTTAATGATTCCTCTTTTGTTAGATTGATGGTGGTGATTTCATTTCTGTGTATTTTGCTTAATATACTTGTCATTTTCAGTAAGTCTTTTTTAATAATGGAAGTTCAAACCAATGAAATTCACCATGAAGCATTGTCAACTACCGTTAAACAAACATCCCAATATACACCCCCGTATCTACCGCAACGATTGGAGTAGAACTCTGTGAATTTCAGGATCGATAGATATACCGAGTCTAAAAAATCTTGATCTGAGTGATCAAGTGACACTGCTCTCTGGGGACCATAGAATCACAGAATCACCAACGGATTTGGAATCAGCCGATCGATTTTATTACCATTAGAGATTTTCGCTAATAAAATGTCAATTCTGAATCATCCAATTTGTTTCACTTCTCATGGAAATACCCACGTATCTTCCGTATTTATTGGAGTATAAATCTGTAAATTACGGAAACGTTTTACCAACCGAAACAGAAGTACCTAATTGCAACACCGAAATAACAGTTATTTGTTAAGGAAACAATCTAACTCGGCAATCAACTAGAATTTAGATTATTTTACGTACTTGCTAAATTGATGTCTGAAATTATTTAAGAGAATTGAATTACAATCGTTTCAATAAATAAAAAACGAGTGGTGCCATGAGATTACCATGGAAAATAGTTGCTTATTGATTTTTGCTGCCAACTTGATGATATTGTTGATATATTCAACGAAAGTCATTTTTTGAGGAGGAAAAATCAGTTTTTTATCGACCTTTTTTTTTTGGGTATTTGTTACCTTCCACAATCTGAAAAATGAAATGAAAATGAAATGAAAAATGAAAAATGTAGAAGGGCAAACTTTTTAGTTTACGATAAACAATTAAAAATCCGTTATATAGCGAAACGCGTGCCACGGTTTTGTAAACCCTTCGTAGCAAGAATCAAAATAAAGCTCATGTAAATTTTTGATATGAATTTTCATCAAGTATCGGCCAGTTTTGTTCAATGATCATTGAAAAAACAGTTATAAACAATAAAAAATTACAAGAAAATCATGTTTGTTTCCTGACGATAAAATGATATTTACTAGACTTGTTTGTTTAAGAATGATCTACAAAGAAAAGACGTAAAAACAATCTTCAATTTCTACCGTTATTAGTTGCGAGTATAATATTGAACTTGGAAAAAAATATTTCAACACCACTAGACACTTGAATAATTTTCGAATTTAAAAAATTGTATTGGGCTAAATCAGCGTGTCAGATATTGATAACATCAATGTCCTACGTATTTTTAATAATGTTCGTATGTTAATCTGATCGTTTGCATGATGCGGGTGCTTTTACGTAAGGGTTAAAAGTGAAAAGAAAAAAAAAATAGTGCGTTTTACACTGATTCCATCAGTGATAAGTGATGCTCAATAGTACCTCAAGAAGTTGGCAATTTTATGTCATATTTACCCTGTTAAAAGCTTAAGGAAATGATATGTAAACAATACATTTTACTTTTTTCATAAATTCCATCACAGAAACACAATAGCTAGGTGAACAATAATAATACTTAGAATAATTTTTTATCACAATTTTATCACAATTAAAAAAAGGCATAAGTAGCTAGGATCGTAAAATGAACAAAAAATAATACAAAATGTGCTTTCAAAAAAACAATTATTGAAGAAGTAAAGAAATAGTAAAAAAAGTTAAAAATAATTGTTGCTTTCCTAAATATTATCATAAAATGTCCCTTTCGGCTTCTTCATCTTGCTGGGAATCATGGTACGCATCAGATATATTGCCCGAATTGAGGTCCTCATAAAAATTGCTGTATGTTGGATCTATATAAGAAAGTAAATCTAAAGGATCCTTTTTTTCAATTGGTATCATTAGTGATCCCTGATATCTAAGAGGTGGCAAAAGTTTTACAACCTTCCTTTTTTTCTAGGACAAAACTGTTTTAAATTCTTCATTGCCGAGTGTTAATTTACAGAAAAGAATTCAAGAATTAACTTTGCGGTAAGTTAGCCATCTAGCCTTACCCCAAT